TCCCCATGTGGATGCCTGGCGAAATCCTGAGGGTTGCCGAAGAAATCGTCTGGAAACCTATGTGGTCCCAGAGGGGACCCTCAAGGTTGCTGGGGGTACCCTCGGGACTGCTGGGGGATCGTCGTGAACTCTGGGCTGACGGCGGAATCGCAGAGAAAGCCTCAAGCTTCCTGGGGATTCCTGGGGGACGATGACGATGACGACGACGTCGACGACGACGACGATGACGAGGCCGCGGGAGGAAGAAGTCGAAATAAGCGGCCAAACCGGAAGTGGATGGGTCCCGCGGGCCAGCTTCGCCAGGGAGGCGTTGGAACGTTCTGTCTTGCCCCTGCGTGTGGCTCACCACTCGGGGGGTGCCCAGAGATGCTCGGATTCTACCACGGGATTCGGTGTGACCGGTGCTTCGTGCAGAGCGCATCTTGTTGCGATTCGTGACAAAGGCCGCCGTTGGGGATGTCCCCCCGCCCCCCCCCCCCACCTGGTAACGTCACGGTTCGCGCTTGCGCCGTTTGGAATTGCCGGGGGCCGCCAGCTCCCAGACGGCGCCAGGGGGAATCGTGATGTTGCCGCCCCCCTCTCCCCCCCCCCCGCCCTCCCCCCACGCGGAGCGGCCGCTACCGCCAGGGGATAAGAAAACGGGCCCCCAAGCAGGATTTGCAGTCGAGGTTGAGTGGAGAGGACACGCGAGAGGACACCAGACCCTGCCGAGGGCCACATTGCAACATGGCTGTGAAGGCATGGCTCGCGAGATACCAGACACAATTTGTTGATCCGCGGGTCGAGAGCGCACCTCTTCCGGTCGAAGCTAAGCGGGCCGCGCGAAGCTTGAACTAGGCAAAGAAGAGGAGGGAGGAAGCGGCGGAGCCTCAGGGCGAGGCCGAGAGGAGGCATAGCCTCGGATACGGCCGGTGCCGGAGCCGAAGTGCTAGCAAAGGGACGCGTTCGGCGGGAGCCCGGTGGCGAAGCACCAGAGAAGAGCAACATGCTGCGAGGCGCAAGACACAAAGGGTACCCTGGACTTGGCAGGGCCGACCTGCTCCTCAGCCTCGACTGCGGTGCGACCGCCGCGTCGCGCAGAGAGGCGGAGGCGCAGCCCGCCTCCCTGCGCTGCCTGGCGGGCTTCCCCCGCGCCTGGCGCTCCGCGGCACGCTCCGACCAACGATTGCTTGCGCCCGACGTTCTGTCAGTTGGGAGGGGCGCTCGCTCCAGGGAAGGAGGGAGGAGGAGGAGGAGGAGGAGGAGGAGGAGGAGGAGGAGGAGGAGGAGGAGGAGGAGGAGGACGAGGCGCCAGGGAGGAGCCGGGGAGGAGGGAGGATGAGGATACGGAGCGAAGAAGATGAGATCGCAACAAGAGGCCTCCCAGAAACCCCTAGAAGCTCCTTCAAAGACCTCGGGAGGCCTTCGCTGTTGTGTTACCCGCGCCAAGCGACGATGACCCACGAGCTCCACGCAGCCTGCATCAGAGAAGCGCCTGGCCAGTTGTAAAACACGTGTCCGAACAGAGGAAAAGGAGGAGGAGGAGGAGGAGGAGGAGGAGGAGCAGGAGCAGGAGCAGGAGGAGGAGGCAAGTAACACATAGTGGGCGTGCACAGCTTTCGGAGTCCCGAAACGGTGCGGTGACAGACCGTGCGGTGACCTCGAAATACCCCAAGACCTCACCGCACGGTCCGTCACCGCACGGTCTTGGGACCCTGGAGAGGCCCCTGTCGCCCGATACGTCCTCGGAGAACGACTCAAGTCCCAAAACCGTGCGGTGACCCCGGATCCCCACCGACTCCTCGCACGGTGTGGTCACCACCCCGTTTTGGGGGGCCCCCGAACAGCTCGCACAGGAGTCGGAGACCCCAGACTTCACCGGAGACGCCAGCAAGACTGCCCCGCACGAGCGCGAGAGGGGGAGCCCTCGCGTGCGCACTCCCGCAGGGCCCCGCCAGCGGCACCCACACAGTGGCCCCTCGCGGACCAGAGCAGGGGAGGGGAGAAAGGAGGGGAGGGAGTCAATGGATAAGACGACACGCTCACAGCCGGCCAGCTCCCCGAGGCCTCGAGCCCAACACACAATGCGGTGAGGGCGTTGGAAAAGGAGCCCCGCGATAAGGAATTCAGGGTCTGAAAGAATGGAATACTGAAACGCGCCATAAACGTACACGTTTGGCGCTCCGAGTTGTTATGGTCATGTCATTGTTCATTCCCCTATGGCCATGGGTATCACCACCGCCCTCAGCAGACAAGGACTCCTCCAGGGTCTGAAGCCTCCTGGGCACATTCCTTTCCCAACGCCCCCGCCGTAGGCTACAGAACATACGTGCGAACTTCACCCTTGCTCAGAAGTAAGAGCCTTCTGAGCTAAGAAAACGGAGGTCACTCCAAGTGTTCTCCTCAGCAGTATTCCAGGCCCAGATCTACAAACACTCTGAAAACAAAAAAACGCTTCAAGAAAAACGCCCAGGATCCAATCCACATTCTTGATTTTCTTAAAACGAAATCTGGAGTCCATGACACTGGCGGCGTTTTCTCCAGATTTTTGGCGGGTGTACATTGCCCAGCGCACGACCGACAGAAAGCACACTGTGCCGGGTGGTATGGCTGCCAGAGGATGCAGCCTGAGAGTGCCAAGGCAAAGGGAGCCGAAGCCACCTCAGGAGGCCTCCGCGGACCCCGTGAGGAGGGCACACCGATGCCGTGAACAGTCCGCCTACCATGGAGGAAGACAAGCACACCAACACAAACACAGCACAGTCGACGCGATGCCAGGAGGGACGCCAAATAAGGAACGAAGGGGCTTCTCTGGCCACGCCGGGCCTTGGCCACAAACAGGTTCCCCGAAACAGACCTAAGGAACATGAGGGAATTGTGCGACCTGTGGGAGTTGTGGGACCAGTGCCACCTGCGGGGCCTGTGGGGCGCATGGGACTTGTGAGTCCTGTGGGACCTACGCCTGCGGGACCTGTGAGGCCTGTGGGACCTGTGCGACCTGTGGGGCGTGTGCGACTTGTGGGGCCTATGCCTGGATGCCAGGATGCTATTGAGGGGAAAGGGGGGGACTGGCAAAGGGTAGGGTAGAGAATCAGCTCACGTAGCTGATTTCCCCAGCGCCTCCCGGCGCCGGGAGGCGCCCATGTATCGAGGGATGGGCCCGGCGGCGGGGCCGAAACCAGCTGCATGCAGCAGATTTCGTAAACCCCCCTTTCCCTATCCCCCCCTTTCGTTCGGCCCGATGCCAGAGATACCAAAGATGCCAGTGATGGCAGTGATGCCAGGACGCCAAGTTGCCAGGATGCGAGCGCAAAATCAACCCCAGCAATGGAGGTCTGGCAGCACGAAGAGCCCGAAGTGGCCCAGGGTTGGCCCAGGGCGTGCAGAGTGAGTCCCAGGACTGGAGGCCTTGGAGCACGAAGAGCCCAATGTTTACTTACAGTTGGCTCTGGACATGCATGCAAAGGCAATGTTAGGCCTGGCAGCGGGGTTCTGGGACCCCGAAGAGCACGAAGTGACCTGCAGTTGGCTCTGGACACTCCAACTAGCAACCCAGAGTGGAGTTCTGGAGACTCGATATTGGCCCTTCTATTCTCAAAAGCTTGCCGATGGCCGCCGTGGACAAAAATTAAGCGCGGATCCACACAGGGAGGGGGTCCGCCTGAGACTTCCTCACAATTCAATCACAAACGAGACCACCGCACGAGACTTCCGTAATACGCGTGTGTGTGTGTATGTGTATGTGTGTCTGTATGTATGTGTGTAAATGTGTGCGTATATGTCTGCGTCTGTGTGTGTGCGTGAGTGAACGAGTGCGTGAGTGCGTAAGTGTGTGAGAGCGCGTGGGGGTGATGATGATGCTGCTAATGATGATGATGATGATGATGATGATGATGATGATGATGATGATGATGATGATGATGATGATGATGATGATGATGATGATGATGATACTGGTACTGATACTGATGATACTGATGATGACGATAATGGTGTTGATAATGGTGCTGATTATGCTGGTGATGCTGCTGATGATGATGATGATGATGATGATGATGATGATGATGATGATGATGATGATGATGATGATGATGATGATGATGATGAGGGGTGAATGTGTTTTTCCTGCGCGGTGTGTGGCAAAGAAAACAAGAACCCAACTTAGGATGAGGGGGATCAACACGTTATTCGGAGCTCCGCGAGGATTTCTTGGATTGGCGCTGGACCCCCCTGGCGGCGCCTCTAGCGCCTTCCCTGGCGCGCTCCGCGCGCCTGAGAGGACGATCCAAAGCAATACAAGAAATCCACGCGGAGCTCCAAAAGCTTATGCTCAATGCAATGGTTTGCACTTCTTCGGTGCCAACTCCATCCGAGTGCCGACTCGGGGCACAGCTGCTGCCGCATACCCAGCCACTCACGCCGCTTGCCGCACACGTCCGACGTCCGACAGCGCGCTCAGCTGCCACCGCGCCAGCCGCTCACCACCTCTGAGCCGCTCACAACTCCCCAGTGCTCTAGCATCCCGAAAGCTCGCGCCCGCGCCGCATCCGCGCAGGGAGTGCACGAGCCTGCTGCACGCCCGGCGCGCGGCTACCCTCGGCGCCGACGGACGAAGATCACGTGACGGACGGTCGCGACGGCTCCCAATGTTTGTCGCCTTGCTGCTCCCGCTCGCGCTCCTCTCCTCCTCCTCCTCCTCCTCCTCCTCCTCCTCCTCCTCCTCCTCCTCCTCCTCCTCCCCGTCCGCCTCGTCCTCCTCTCTTCCTCCTCCTCCTCTCCTCCCTCCTCCTCCTCCTCCTCCTCCTCCTCCTCCTCCTCCTCCTCCTCCTCACTCTTCATTCACCCTCTTCTCATCCTCTACCTCATCTACCTCCATCTTCCTCGCTGTCTCCATCCCCTTCCTTTTTCTACTCTTCTTCATCATCTGCGCCCTCCTCCTCCTCCTCCTCCTCCACCCACTATCTGTGCTCAATCAAGTGCAGCATAATTAAAATAAGATGGGAGACGAAACGGACGGGCTCCTTGACTCGAGTTCGCGCCTGAATCTGATTGCGGGTGTGCTGCATCTGCGCCATCAAGTCGACACGCACCTGGAACAACTAAAATATGCAAATATGTATGAAAACATTCACCTCCAAGAAATCACGCACTGAAATATGACCGCACTGTAATTCACGCTGAGTTGCCGTGCTACGCCCAGTTGTACATGCGTGCGGGCACAAGTGCTCGACGTGGGCGGCGGGGGGCGCGGTCGGGGAACGCGATGAATTGCGGTAAGGTCGAGTCGTAGCGACTTAGGCGTTGGTTTATGACGCCGCGTGGACCGCTCCACCTTGAAATGTCGCGGCTGCCCGACAACGCAACTCGTTCGATGTCGGCCGATTCCGCCCTGGCGGCGTTGAATCTTTCAAGCCCGCGCAGGGGTCGCCGCTGCGTCGCCACGACACGAACCTGCCGAAGGCCTTCCTGTGGCCCACGAAGGCGGCGCGCCCCCTCGCAAACGGCCAGCCCCGACAACCACCAACGACGATGGAACTCGGCCTACAGGTCAACGTTTTCTTATTCGGCGTTTCGACATTGGGCGGAAGGGGGTGGGAGGGGGGGGGGTATGGCTCCGGACCTCTGCTTAATGCGATTGCTTGCAGCAATGTGTCCTGTTGGGGAGACTCCACCTGCTCGAAACAGGCGGCAAAAACAGCCAAGACCTGCTCCATGACACACGGCCGCGCAACTGTTCCGAGTCCCCGTCTGGCCACCGGGCGGTCATTGGAGCTCGCTGCGGGCGCCCACATGGCCCCTCCCGGATCGCTGGAGCGCCTCGCTGCAGCTCGCTCCGAGCACCCAAGTGCAGACACACTGCGCCTGCTGCGCGAGCAAGTCCACGAGGCGGCCAAAGGCGTCAGACTCAAAGATGGGGAGTGAAGACAGCCACCCACGAGTACGCAGGCGGACCCCCACGGGCTGGCGCACGCGTGCGCACAGGCACGCACCGAGCCAACTCGTCGTCCACCACAGGCTCACCTTAGCAGCCCATTGGTTCTCCGCGGCAGCATCTCCATGTTTCGATACAGACCAGCCACCCCTGGCCTGTGAGCTCGTGCGCGTGCCATCGGGATCAGGCGCTCCGCGCACACCCGCGCACGTGCGCACCCGCGCTCTCACCCAAACAAACATGCACCCAAACATCCCACATGCTTGATTGCTGGGATGACCCGTCGATGTGTATTCTCCACACGTGCGGTTACCTCACGTCGTAGGGGGAGGGGCTGGCCATCCTCGGCAAGAAAAGCGAGCCCCACAAAGTGGTCCCGCACAACAACCCATGGTCAAAGTTGAAACGGGGGCTCAATCTTAGTGCTAGAAAATCAGACCCCCGATGTCATGATTCCTTCATAACGTCGACCCCCAGAGAACTCGACCCATTCCCCGGGACTGGTTTCCATCCAGAATCGGAGTTTGACGGTTCCGAGGCCCAGCAAGGGCCACAGAGGCCGAAAATAGCGGAAAACCTTCCGCCTGGGAAGCCTGGGGTCACCGTCGACCTCGACACGGTTCTTACTTTTGGATCCCATTATGCTGCACCTGTTCACTTGCGCGTGCCGTATGGAATTTGAGGCAGGCTGGCTCGCCACCAGTCTGCTGAAACCGCTTGGCTGCAGGAGAAACGATCTCAAACAATAGCCCACGCATCCGACTTCCCCTCGCTTGGGGTCCTCGCGGAGCCCTCTTCAGGCCGACTTGGGCCGCCTTGGAGGCGCCTTGGGGGGCCTCTCGGGATCCTCACGGGCCGGCGTGGGGCGACCTTCGGGGCCTCGTGGGCCGTCTTGGAGCGTCGGGAGCCCGAAAATGATGGGCCCATGTTCCACCACCGCTACCAGAAGTAGGAGGAGGAGGAGGAGGAGGAGGAGGAGGAGGCGGAGGAGGAGGAGGAGGAGAGGAGGCAGGAGGGAGGAGGAGGAGGGGAGGGAGGAGGAGGAGAAGGAGGAGGAGGAGGAGGAGGAGGAGGAGGGGGAGGACCTCCTCCTCCTCCTCCCTTCTCCCGCGTCCTACGTATGGTAGGTGGTGGCGGAACGTGCGCCCAGCAGAGGAGGCGAGAGCGCGACGGCCCGCGGAGCCTCACCGGTCTCGGCCTCTCGGGGCGCCCTTTGCGGGGGACGCCAGGAGCCCCCCGGCGGAGGCGGAGGGCGGCGGGGCCGGGGCGCCTCGGTGCGGTCGGGAGGCCGCTCCTCGAGGCCGAACACGTAGAAACCCGGAGGCCCGCGCGGCCCCAGCCTCAGGATCCCGACCCTCAGCCTCAGGATCCCGACTCTCAGCCTCAGGACCCCGACCCTCAGCCTCAGGATCCCGACCCGCAGCCTCAGGATCCCGACCCTCAGCCTCAGGATCCCGACCCTCCGCCTCAGGATCCCGACCCTCGCCCTCAGGATCCCGACCCTCAGCCTCAGGACCCCGACCCTCGGCCTCAGGATCCCGACCCTCGGTACCAGCCTCGAACATATCCCTATCCCTAAGATTGACACGGCAAAAGGCGATGACAATCTCAGGGGTGCGCCCTCACAGAAGAAGGGAATCCCCAAGATTGGCATCGTGATGAGGAGATGCCCAGCACAGGGATAGGGATATGTTCCAGGCTGGTAACACCCTGGCCGATCGGATCTGGCGCCGAGGCGAGAAGTCCGCGCGGGCCTCTGGGTTTCTGTGTTTATGTCAGTCTCCGTTCCCCTACCCGACTCCCAGCTCCATCATCGTCGTCGTCCTCCCCATCGTCGTCCTCCCCATCGTCTTCCCCAGTGTCATCCTCTGACTCTTCCTCTCTCCCCCCTCTGCCCCTCTGCCTCCTGCCAACTGCCTCCTGCATCCTCGCCGCGTCCTGGAGATGTAAAATCAGCCCCCCAGAAGGAGAACACAAAAAATGAAAAACAACAATTATCCCAGAGCGACCCTACCTAGGAGTTGGAGCCCCGAGGAGAGCAATATTAGTAGTAACGGTAAACGCCGTCCTCCTCCTTCTCCTCATCGTCGCAGTTGTAGCAGTAGGGGTAGTAGTAGTAGTAGTAGTAGTAGTAGTAGTAGTAGTAGTAGTAGTAGTAGTAGTAGTAGTAGTAGTAGTAGTAGTAGTAGTAGTAGTAGTAGTAGTAGTAGTAGTAGTAGTAGTAGTAGTAGTAGTAGTAGTAGTAGTAGTAGTAGTAGTAGTAGTAGTAGTAGTAGTAGTAGTAGTAGAGTAGTAGTAGTAGTAGTAGTAGTAGTAGTAGTAGTAGTAGTAGTAGTAGTAGTAGTAGTCGTAGTAGTAGTAGTAGTAGTAGTAGTAGTAGTAGTAGTAGTAGTAGTAGTAGTAGTAGTAGTAGTAGTCGTAGTAGTAGTAGTAGTAGTCGTAGTCGTAGTAGTAGTAGTAGTAGTAGTAGTAGTAGTAGTAGTAGTAGTAGTAGTAGTAGTAGTAGTAGTAGTAGTAGTAGTAGTAGTAGTAGTAGTAGTAGTAGTAGTAGTAGTAGTAGTAGTAGTAGTAGTAGTAGTAGTAGTAGTAGTAGTAGTAGTAGTAGTAGTAGTAGTAGTAGTAGTAGTAGTAGTAGTAGTAGTAGTAGTTAGTAGTAGTAGTTAGTAGTAGTAGTAGTAGTAGTAGTAGTAGTAGTAGTACTAGTAGTAGTAGTAAGTCTAGTCAGTAGTAGTAGTAGATAGTAGTAGTAGTAGTAGGAGTAGTAGTGGTAGTAGCAGTAGTAGTCGTTAGTCGTAGTCGTAGTCGTAGTCGTAGTCGTTGTAGTAGTCGTAGTCGTAGTAGTAGTAGTAGTAGTAGTAGTAGTAGTAGTAGTAGTAGTAGGTAGTGTAGTAGTAGTAGTGGTGGTAGTGGTAGTGGTAGTGGTAGTGGTAGTAGTAGTAGTAGTAGTAGTAGTAGTAGTAGTAGTAGTAGTAGTAGTAGTAGGAGTACATCTTAACACCTACATCTACATCCAGACCTACATCCACATGTACACATGCATCTGCATCTACATCTACATATACATCTACACCTACACTCACATCTACATCTACATTTACACCTACATCTACACCTGCATTATATGCTGCGCTATGCTATCCTATGCTATGCTACGATGCGCTGTGTTATGCTAAGCTATGATATGCTATGATATGATATGATATGATATGATATTATGCACTATGCTATGCTATGCTATGATATGCTATGATATTTTATGCTGCGCTATACTATGCTGCGCTACGCTATGCTATGCTATGATATGCTATGCTATGCTATGCTAATGCTGCGCTAAGCTAAGCTAGGCTGAGCTAAGCTAAGCTAGGCTAGGCTAAGCTGAGCTAAGCTAAGCTAAGCTAAGCTAGGCTAGGCTGAGCTAAGCTAAGCTAGGCTAAGCTAAGACGAGATAAGCAAAGCTAAGCTAAGGGGGCGCAACTGGGGAAACCGCGGGGCGGATCCTGGGGGAACCGCCCGGGGCGCATTCCACTGCCCGACCCTTTAAGCTTACCGAGTAAGAACCCTTCTAGGCAGAGCCTAGGTAGGGGAAAAAAAGGAATTAACACAACAAAAAAATCGCCCTGCTCCACAGCCTCGCATCTCAACAGCCGAGCAGAAGGCCACGCCTCCAGCGAGTCCAGCAGCTTCATGAACTCCCCGTCCGACGGCGCATCCTGCCCACGAGATGGGGGAACCCGCCGATCGCGGGTTTCGCCCCCGGCATTTGCACCACGCTCCTCCTTCTCCGCGTCGTCGCCGTCCTCCTCCTCCACGTGCCTATCTGTAAGAAGAGGAGACGGGGGAGGGGAGGCGAGGGGAAGAGCCAGGGCTACGACGCGCCACTGTGGGCACGGGGCACGGAGGCGGAACCTTGACCGTCCCGCTGTCCCGATGCGCCCCCTCACTCGCCCAGGCAGAGCTCGAGACTCGCGGTCGCCCAGAACCAGGACTGGCCAGCCGTGAGCAGGCAACCGGCGCAGGTCCGTGTGCACCACGGTCTGACCGCGCGCGCGGCTGGGGGACCCCGAGATCGCCTTGGCGAGCTGACTGCGAGTAGGCCACCCTGCGCTGAAGAATTCCAACCTCACCTGACGTCCACCGCACGGGGGGTTGAAATGGAAGCAACTGCACAACTGCGCATGCTTCGCCGCACTTGAATTTTGCCACCGTCCCAAGGAGACCGACGCGAGTTGCAGGCCAGTTCACCGTGCACGAGAAGGGCCCAATGGTCGCTTGGCCTCCAAGGATATGGTGACTTGCAAACAGATCTGGGCTAGGACGACGATGATGACGACGACGATGATGGTGATGGTGATGATGATAATGATGATACTGATGATGATGATGATGATGATGATGATGATGGTGATGATGATGATGCTGGTGATGATGATGATGGTGGTGATGATGATGCTGATGATGATGATGCGGATGATGATAATGATGATGATGATGACGATGATGATGATGATCCAGCGCATCAGAGACAGTCTGAAGAGAAACACTGGCCGCGCCCGACCGCATCCCTGGGCGACTCGCACGCAGCGGCAGACCGTGCCAACGAACCGTGACACAAGCGATAATACCACAGCGCGGGCGGGAAACGCCACACATATCGGCCCCGACCAATCGCCGCGGCATGCCTGAAGCCCTCGTGCTCGGGCGGTACTGTTCAGATTCACACCTGGACGGAACACGCGCCAGCACCCAAAGGCACTTGCTAGCTCGGCGGAGGCATGCTTGATCATTGGACCCGCCTGGCGCTCCGAGCGGAGTGTCTACAGTCCTGACACATGACAGCGCCCGTCGGTGATGATGATGATGATGATGATGATGATGATGATGATGATGATGATGCTGACGATGTTGATGCTGATGCTGAGGATGAGGATGACGACGATGATGCGGACGGTGATGATGATGCGGATGGTAATGATGATGATGATGATGATGATGATGACGACTATGAGGACGAAGATGAGGATGAGGATGGGGATGATGATGAGGATAATGCTGATGATGATGAGGATGAGGATGATGAGGATGAGGAGGAGGAGGACGATGATGATAATGAGGACAATGAGGGTAATGAGGATAATGAGGATGATGATGGTGATGATGATGATGCTGCTGCTGATGATGATGATGATCCGGTGCACCTTTTTACTGCCAGCAATTGCAAGAGACCGAGCAGCGTAACAGTCCAGCCTTCGAGGTGCGGCACCGCACCACCAGAGCTCAAGCACACAGATGCGAGCAGCACGAGCATACACATACAGACTGCCTGCAGCATACGTGTTGCCTGAAAGAGGGTGGAGGAGAGGAGGAGGAGGAAGACTTGAGCGACCCAACCAGCGGCGGATCAGCGGCGCGACGGAAACACGTGAAATCACGACAATCCTGTGCACCTTTTTACTGTCAGCAACTGCAAGAGACTGAGCAGCGTAACAGTCCAGCCTTCGAGGTGCGGCACCGCACCACCAGAGCTCAAGCACACAGATGCGAGCAGCACGAGCATACACATACATACTGCCGAATATGCGCCAAATATGCAGCAGCAAGCTGGCCACGCCGAGAGGTTAAAAGGCACACGATTTAGACAAATACTGCTGGATCACCTGAGCTGAGGCACCGACCTCAGCGCTGTGGAAACACCTGGCCAGCGCGAGACAGAACTTACGCGGATAGACAGCTCCTTTTTTGTCTGAAACCCGCCCTTGGGCAAAAAGCCCTGGAGCTGGACGTGGGGACGGCCCGTCTGCGAACAAATACCTCTACGCGAGCCACAGCAAACAGAGTTTTTAAAGCTGCCGGGCTCAAGATCAGACATCATGAGCCCTGTGTCCTTTTTCCACGGGGCCCCCCACTGGCACATGGAGGTAATGAGGAAAATCACCGATTTACGCCTGAGGAGCGCTCTGAACCTTGGGAGAAGCCACAGCCGAGAGGTCTTGGGGTTCTCAACGCTCCACGGAATACGCATCGCGATGGACAGGCAGGCAAAGAGTGGCCACAAAACTATTCAGCGAATTCGAGACCTCGGCGATGGCTTGGAGGTGTGGTTTGAGGGAGGGGGGGCCGAGGAGGTGAGTATCAGAACGGACAGGAGGGGCTCCAACCCCATGGTCACGGCAGCGCATCAGGGCATTGCAAGGATTGCCAGCGTGCCAGCCCCTTACGCGCCCGGCCCGCGCCCACCTCAAGATCAGGGATTTGTTGCCAGCCTTCGAGAGATCATACTGCTCACCGAGGGAAGTGTCCCACAGCAGCGCTGGCATGCCCAATTCAGCGGCCGCCCGACCGAAACCGCCCTCGCCACAGAACAGGTCCAGGATCACCGCCGGGTCGGGCAGACTGGAGCCAATGCTGAGGGCAGGCCGCGCGTGCACGCGGTCAGGGCGAGGCAGCAGGCCACGGCGTGCCGCCTCTGCGCGGCGGGCAACTTGTCGATCTGCTCGGTGAGACGACCGCCCTTCTCGTAACTCCGCACAGAGCTCCACGACTTCCAGCGGCCTCGGCGGCGGATCTGCTCGAGGTCGCGGAGGTTGGCGGCGTAGTCGTGGCTGGGCCCCGAGTGGCGGAGCTGGTGCACATGGCAGGCGCCGATGGTGTCGAGCCTGAGCGCCTGGATGGCCCCGCGCCAGGCGCGCGAGACCTCCGCCTGCGTGACGAAGAAGAGGGAGGCGTTCGCCGCGGCGCCCCCCTGGCGCCGAGCGCTAGACGACGCCTGGAGCGCCGCGCCCAGCCCCTGCTGTCGGGGAAGATCCAGCCGTGCAGCTGAGTCGAACTCCCCGGTCTTGGACACCTCGCCGACCTCCTGCGCGTGGAGTGTCACGGCGGGAAACTCGTGAGCTGCCGATGACCCAGGAGCTGGCGGCGCGAAATCCTGGAGTCGCAGACCGTGGAACTCTCCCGGGCGGCCATAGATCTCGAAGAGGAGCCAGATCGCGATGGCGATCTGAGGCTGGCCGTGGTAGTGCAGGTAGTTGATCGCCATCGCCACGATCTCGAAAGGCAGCGCCATGCGGCTCCTGGGGGGGGGCGAGGTTGCGCCACCCCTTCGAGGCCTGCTTCGCGAGCGGCAGGTCGAACGGCCCGTTCTTGTTGAAGCGGGGGTCGCGCCGCGCCACCGCCGCGATCATGCGGTTGGCGTAGGTCTGGCGCCACCCCTTCTCGAACATCTTGTGAAGGTAGTCGCGGACGGCGCCGTCGAGCGACGCTGGAGAGGAGACTTCCCTCCTCTGCTGCTTGACCCACCGGTCGAACCCGTTGAGCATGTCGGTGCAGGCCTGGCGGCCAGCCCGAGCACGGACCGAGGCCGCGTTCAGGACGGGTATCCCAGCAGGCAGCTCGATGAGGCGCGCCCGCTGGATCGGCGTGAGGGAGGCCGCCGCGTGCGCAGCCACTGGAGTCTGAGCACGAAGTGTCGGCAACGGCGCCGGCGGAGGGCTGGCTGGCCCACGCTGGCGGGCCAACGTAGGCAGGCTCGCTCCACCTTGGGCCCACGCCGCCGGGCGCTTCAGGCTCTGCCCCTGCAGCAGTCCCCCGGCAGCCGGGGACCCGCGAGCCCCCATCTGCACCAGGAAGATGATACGCGGAAGTGGAACTCGCAACATATGGAAGAAGACGATGCACCCTCGAGCCGGGAATGCTGACGGACGGTCCAGGCCCGGGGTGTCCGACATGTGCTCCAGCTCCAGGGACCAGGGATTGCTTGCACCAGCTCGCTGATGATGTGGATGCTGATGTGAAGGTACATGATGTTGCATACGATGTTGCTGACGACGCCCCTGCTCACCTAGGTCGCAGACGGGCTCCTGGCACTGGTCCTGGGCGACGGAGGTCTCCATGGGGGGCTCCTTGAAGACGACGGACGAGGGGTCACTGGGGCTCCCGCGGCCTCTCGAGGGGCCATCCGCGACGTTGCGCTCCGAAGGAATCCAGCGGATGCAGAAGGAACTCCCCGAAGCCAGAGAGAGGGCCCCGATCTTGCGCATGATACTGAGCATGGTGTGACTGCGGGCCCTCATCCTAGCAGTAGCCGAGACCGAAGACAGCGAGTCGCTCAAGACGAGGAGACGCTTCCCGTGGTTGCGGACAGCTCGAAGAGCATGGCGAACATGATACACAACGGCCCGCGCCTCGAGGACAGGCATCCCCTCGAGACGATCCAATTTCCTCCTGCCCGTGACCTGCCACTCACTCTTTTCCAAGACTCGCCGGGGAACTTCGGGAAACTGGCTGAGGTCGCGCTCGAGCGGCGGGCCTAGCGACTGCCCGCTGGAACCCGACGGAAACTGGGCGCCCAGCCGGGCGAGCAGGCCCGCGGCCGCGCCAGCGGCCCCCTCGGCCGCGAGCTCGGCCGCGCGCGCCCGCCGACGTGGAGGCAAGCGCTCGGCCCGGCCATAGCGCCACCTCTCGCTATGGCGACCTACCTCCCGCACCGCGCCCACCTCCCAAACGGTTTCGCAGGCGCCCAACCCCCAGGGGGAGGCATCCACGCAGCCAACAGAAGGCGACCACGGCGCGCGGAGGTCACGCCACAACAGAGGGGCAACGCCATCCCAGGCCAGCAGGTCCTGCCTGACCTGGCTCCAGAGCGGCACCTCGCGGTTGTAACACTCCTGGATGAACCTGAAGCGCGACTCGAAGATGCCGAGGCCCTCGCGCCGGG